CTTCTTTAAATGTCTTGTAGAATTCAGCAGTGAAGCCATCAGGACCTGGGCTTTTCTTTGTTGGTAAATTTTTTATTACATTTTTAATTTCCCTCATTGTAATTGGGGTGTTTAGAATTTCTATATCTTCTTCATTTAACTTTGGCAATTTGAATTTTCTTTTTTTTTTTTTTTGGTACCGGGGATCGAACTTGGGACCTTGTGCTTGTGAGGCAGGCGGCAGAACCATTGAGCCAAATCCCCAGCATAATTCTTAATGTTAGTTTGTGTTCTTTTGTTCTTGTTGTTGTTGGTACTGAGGATCGAACTCCAGACCTTGCGCTTGCGAGGCAGGCACCAGAACCACTGAGTTAAATCCCCAGCGGCAATTTGTACGTATCTAGAAATCTGTCCATTTCTTCTTTGTTTTCTATTTTATTAGAGTATGGGTTCTCAAAGTAGGTATTGATGATCCTCTGGATTTCTGCTGGGTCTGTTGTAACTTCAACTTTTTCGGGTTTGTGGTTTTTTTTTGCTTTTTTTTTTGGTACCGGGGATCAAACTTGGGTCCTTGCATTTGCGCAGCAGGCGGCGAAACCACTGAGCTAAACACCGGGCCCTTTTCATTCTTAATTGCATGGATTTGAGCCTTTTCTTTCCTTTTTTTATTTTTTATTTTTTTTTGGTTTTTTGGGTTTTTGTTTGTTTTGGTACTGGGGATCGAACTTGGGTCCTTGCCCTACCACTGAGCTAAATCTCTGGCCCCTCTTTCCTTTTTTTGATAAGATTGGCTAAAGGTTTAATGATTTTATTTATTCTTTTGAAAAACCAACTCTTTGATTCATTCATTTTTTTGTATCGTTCTCTTAGTCTCCATTCCATTTATCTCTACTCTGATCTTTATAATTTTCTCTCTTGTATGAGCTTTGGGTTTGTTATGCTCTTTTTTTCTAAGAGCTTGAGGTTCTGCATTAGATTATTTATCTGAGTTCTCTCTGTTTTCCTAATATGGGCATTCACTGCTATGAATTTCCCGCATAGAACTGCTTTCATTTTGTCCCACAGATTCCTGTATGTTGTACTGGCATTATCATTTACTTGTCAAAACTGTCTAATTTCTTCTTTAATTTCCTCTGTCACCCATTGGTTGTTCAGGAGGGTGTTATTCAATTTCCATGTGTTGTGGGAGTTTTGCGGTTTCTTATGTTATTGACCTCCAATTTTATTGCACTATGTTCTGATAATATACAGGGGGTAACTTCAATTCTTTTGCATTGACTTAGACATGTCCTATGAGCTAGCATGTGATCTATTTTGGAGAATGACCGGTGTGCAGCTGAAAAGAATGTGTATTCTGATTTTTGGAGTGGAACACTATAAACATCTATAAAGTCTATTTGTTCAATACCTTGGTGCAGTTCTAAAATTTTGTTGTTAATTTTTTGTCTAGGTGATCTATTTGTGATAGTGGGGTATTGAATTCCCCCACTACAATTGTATTAGTGCTTATTTGATTTTTCATGTCCATTAATATTTGTTTTGTATAGTTGGGGGTATTCATATTTGGTGCATATATATTTAGGGTTGTTATCTCTTCCTCTTGAATTGTTCCCTTCACAAGGATGTAGTGACCATCTTTGTCTCTCTTAATTAGTTTTGGTTTGAAATCTACTTTGTCTGCAAATTAGATTGCTACACCTGCTTTTTTCTGGGTTCCTGTTGCATGGAGAACTGTTTTCCATCCTTTTACTTTCAGTCTATGTATTTCTTTTTTAGTTAGGTGTGTCTCTTGTATACAGCATATTGCTGGATTTTGCTTCTTAATCCATCTGTCAGTCTATTTCTTTTGATTGGTAAATTGAGGCCATTAACATTGAGAGTTATAATTGATAGATATTGACTCATCCTTGTCATGATGTTTTGCTATTGTTGGCTCTTTTATCTGCCCCCCCCCCCTTCCCTTCAGTTTCTTACCTTGCCTGATGGCTTCCCTCTGTTGGGCCTCATGGAGTTGTGACTTTCATTATCTTTTTCTAGGATAATGCTTAGAATTGTTTGGAGTGCTGGTTTGGTGTTCATGAAATTTCTCAGGTGTTCTTTGTCATGGAAGTATCTAATTTCCCCATCAATTTTGAAAGATAATTTTGCAGGATACAACAGTCTAGGTTGGAAGTTATTTTCTTTTAGGGCTTGAAATACTTCATTCCAGGTTCTCCTTGATTTGAGGTTTTGTGTTGAGAAATCTTCCATGATTCTGATGGGCTTTCCTTTGTATGTCATTTGTTTCTTTTCTCTAAATTCTTGGAAGATTTTGTTCCTCTGTTGCATTTCTGGGATCTTGACTATTATATGTCTAGGTGTAGTTTTTTTTTTTTTATTGTGGCTAGTTGGAGTTCTATATGCCTCACTTATCTGTATGTCCAATTCTCTACCTCTGTTTGGGAAGTTTTCTACTATTACTTCTGTGAACAGCTTTTTTTTAATGTCATTTGTACTTTCTCCTGCTTTTTCGTGGACTCCTAACAGTCTTATGTTATTCTTCTTTGCATCATGTAGCAGCTGCTGGATTGATTTCTCATGGTCCCTTACTATTTTGAAGAAATCTCTGTTTTCATGGTCACTAACCACAATCCTGTCTTCTATATCTGATATTCTGTCTTCACAATTGTTCAATTTGCTGTGAATACTTTCAGTGGAGTTTTTAATCTCTTGGATATCTGTTTGAATCTGTTTTGTGGATTCCATTTCTTTCCTATGTTGGGCATTCATAGCTTCTAGCATGGTTCTGAGCTCATCTATTTTTTTTTTTATCTGTTTCTGTTCTAAAGCCTCTAACCATGTCTTTCACTCTGCTCACCATCTCTGTAGTTATCTGGGAAATTATTTCTGTTTTGAATTTTTCTACAGCCTCATTCATCTGTTTTGTTACTTCCTGTGCTATCAGTTCAGGGTGTCCAGGTGGTTGATTATCAGACTTTTCGACCTTGTTTCTCCCAGAATTTGCCTCTTGTGGGGTGGAAGTCTGAGTTTATCCCTTACTTAAATGTCTTCTCGTTTTTTCCAAATCTAAGTTTCAAAATTCTGCCTAAGTACAATCAAAGAAAGACTAAATGCCATGAATAATAAGATTTGAAAAGATACTACCGATGGTCCAGCAGAACTGTTCATTAGCTATTCACCTGCCCCAGTGTTTTCTGGCTTGTGACCTTGTAGGCTCCTACTGTGGGCTCTGCTTTAGGGCTTTAGAACTGTGCATCAGTGTGCAGGTTCCCTTGCAGTGACCCCAGAAGGACCAGTGCTCTTCTCCTCTAGCTTTAGCAGTAAGTGGCAATCTAGCCTAGAATTGCTGTCTGAAAAAATGTGTGTACACATGGATTTAAGGACCAAGACATGGAGTTAATATTTGAAGCATTCAGCGCCCATTCAGATTTTTTGTTTTGTTGTCCTTTTTTGAGATAGGGTCTCACTATGCAGTTCAGGTTGGCCTTGAACTCACTGTGTAGCCCACACTAGCCTCAAACTCATGGCAATCCTCCTGCCTCAGCCTCCTAAGTGCTGGGATTGCAGACATGCACCACCACACCTGCCTCTCAATTCAACTTTTTACAAGAGGAATTGAGATATCCCATGCTGTGAGTCTCAACCTTCCTTCAATAAATATATGTGTGATCATTTAGGAGGCAGTGACCTTTGAGGATGTGGCTGTGAATTTCACCATGGAGGAGTGGGCTTTGCTGAATCCATCCCAAAAGAAGCTCTACAGAGATGTGACAGAGGAAACATTTAGGAATCTGGCTGCTGTAGGTAAGGATGACATCACTGTTTTATTTATACTATCAGAGAACACTGTTTGTTGCTCATCAGTGCAGTTGCATTAAATAGACTGTGAAAACATTTTGAAGAGTATCTCAGGCCTAGTTACATTGTACCATGAATGTAACTGGAATTTATTCATTTTTATGTAATAATACAGTGTCTCCTTATATTTCTATGTCTGTAATTCAGGAAGAGCCTGGCATAACTGGGAATTTGAAGCAGAGTACAAAAATTACTGGAGAAATCTAAGGTAATTTGCACTCAAAAGGAAAAGGAATGTTCCTCAAGAGGCAGTATGTGAGCAGAAATATTACAACCAAGGAAACATGGCCATGTTCTTCAAGTTTATTTAATCTCACAAATATTCTCCAAAATGTATATAGTTTTAGTATGTATAATCTGACAACTGAATACAGAATATTCCAATATAGAAAACTGAGTTAGTACTGATACCATGCAACAAGTGACACTATCTGACATATAAGTAAAAAAAGATGTTCTGTCATGATCACTTTCATGAAAATGTATGAAGTTGCATTTAGATATTGTGTATAGGTGTCTATGAAAAGAAATGAATTTTGAGTTTTGACAGAAACCCATCTTCAGGATATCTGTGTATACATGTGAATATGAGACATTCAGTATCTTAAAAATTGCTAACTTTGAGGCAGTATTCAAAGTAGAAATGAATGCTAATGTTCTAAGAACAAGTGTTTTCAAGCCAAGCTCCAGAGAATTAAGTGTATGTTTTAAAACTCTTAGAAGGCACTCTCCATCATTGTTGGTGGGAATGGTAAGTATAGCTACTATGATAGTCAGTATACAGACATCTAAAAAAGTAAAAGCAGAAGTTCCATTTGATCCTGGACTACCTCTCCTGGGTGTGGTCCTAAAAGACTTAAAATCACCATATTTTACTGATACATCCATATGCATACTCAAAGCAGGACAGTTTATAACAGCTAAGCCCTGAAATCAGATTGGATTGAATCACTGGATGAATGGATAATGAAAATTGTTGATAGGCTCAACATGAAGGTGCATTCCCAGCACTCTGGGAAGCTGACTCTGCAGGATAGCAAGCTGAAGCTCAGCCTAAGCAACTTAATCATCAATGAGAATCTCTCTCAAAATAAGAAATACAAAAGCTGGAGATGTGATTCAGTGCTTAGACCTGTATTTAATTCCCAGCACTGAAAAGAAGAAAAAAATCAGCCATAAAGATGAATGATACCATGTCATTTGCCAAAATTAATGGGTGGATCTTCATTCTATAGTGTTAAGTGAAATAAGTCAGGCACAGAAAGTGAAATGTCACATGATTTCTCTTGTATGAGAAACCAAAAATATAAATTAGGCAGTAAAATAAAGGAGAGGCAATTAAAAAAGGAAAGGCTAACTTTTTGGAGATGAGGAAGACAAATGGGGTAAGGAGAGAAAGGGGAGAGTGATGGGGAAAAGGTATCAAAATGATCAATGTGTGATATACCTATGTACCAACTGCCCAAAATAAAACTAGCTTTCTGTATTGCAAAATATACCAATTTAAAAATTCCCAAATGATTACCACTCTTGGGAATGGCTGTTTTGAAGATATCTTCCAGGACATTCAGTTAATTCATTGTCAGAATTTCTTAGGAGGCATCAAACCAGAACTTGTGATAAATCATTAATATGGAGACCCATTTTATTGCAACTGTTTTTCTTTTCTTTACAGAAATGAAAAGGTAAAGAAATGCTATCAAAATAAAGGTTGGAATCAATATGGAGAAATATTCCTTTGGACTCCAGATGCTAATGTGGACATGAAACAAGCTGCTTTAAAACCAGCTGAAAGCCTTTTTTGCAGAAAGTCCCTGATTGGGCATTTGTCACTAAATATGCCTATCATAGATCACACTGCACTGAAGACATATGAGTACTTGGGATTGGAAGAGAAGCTGTATAAATGTGATGAGCATGGAAGAACCTGTGGTGATTTCCAGTCCTTTCAGAAGGATTCAAGGACAAAGACTGGAGAGAAATCCTATGAATATGATCAATGTGGGGAATACTGCTCTGATCTTAGTGAAAGAACTCACCTTAAAGAGAAGACCTTTGTGTATAAGAAAAACTTGAAAGCCTCTAACACACCCAGTGATGTTCAGATCTATGAAAGAAATCACAATGGGGAGAAATCTTATGTATGTAATCAATGTGGGAAAGCTTTCAGTAGGCGTCAACATTGTAAACAACATGAAAGAAATCACACTGGGGAGAAACCCTATGTATGTAAGCAATGTGGGAAAGCTTTCAGCTCACTTAATGATCGTAAAAAACATGAAATCACTCACAGTCAGGAGAAACCTTATGTATGTAAGCAGTGTGGAAAAGCTTTTGGTAGGCGCAAAAATTGTAACCGACATGAAAGAACTCACATTGGGGAAAAACTCTATTCATGTAGGCAATGTGGGAAAGCTTTTAGTACCCAAGATTATTGTAAAATACATGAAAGAATTCACACTGGGGAGAAGCCCTATGTATGTAAGCAGTGTGGGAAAGCTTTCAGCATGCGTGGTGCTTGTCAAATACATGAAAAAACTCATACTGGGGAGAAACCCTATGTATGTAAGCAATGTGGGAAAGCTTTTAGTACACAACATTACTGTAAAATACATGAAAGACTTCACACAGGGGAGAAACCCTATGTTTGTAAGCAATGTGGGAAAGCTTTTAGTACACAACATTACTGTAAAATACATGAAAGGATTCACACTGGGGAGAAGCCCTATGTATGTAAGCAGTGTGGGAAAGCTTTCAGCACACATGATGATTGTCAAAGACATGAAAGCACTCACAGTCAGGAGAAACCCTATGTATGTAAGCAGTGTGGAAAAGCTTTCCTCTGGCCAAGTAAATGTCAAAGACATGAAAGAATTCACACTGGGGAGAAACCCTATATATGTAAGCAGTGTGGAAAAGCTTTTAACACAGCTGGTGGTTGTAAAAGACATGAAAGAACTCACAGCATTAATTCTATGTATCAAAGAAGTCTCACTGAGGAGAAACTTTATTTTGAAAATCCTGTGAAAATTTCTCGTAGTGGAGACCTGTAGGAATAATTACTACAAAAAGCTTGATGCCAATATTTCTCCAGAAAACACAATCCCAGATAGAGATATCTTAAAGTACATACATTATGTGTTTTTCAGTAAGTCACTTAAATATCTGGATTATGTATCTGCAGTATTTAATATAAAAATGTTGAATTGACACAATTAGGTATCTGTGTGTCTTTAAGCTTAATAGTGTCTTAATTAAGCATGGTGAATTGAAATGTATTTTTTACTTTCAAGTAGAGTCAGTATTTATGTAGTTTTTGTTTAGTGTTTACAACTGGGAGAGCTGAGCATGCTGGTGCACGCCTGTAATCCCAGCACCTGGGAGGCTGAGGCAGGAGAATTGCCCTGAGTTTGAGGCCAGCCTAGGCTACATAGAGAGTTCAGGGCCAGTATGAACTACATAGTGAGGCTGAGACCCTGTCTCAAAAAACAAAAACAAACAAAAAACCATGGGAGGTATAGGCCCCTGAAAAACTTAGTTTTATTAATTGCTTTTTGTTAATTGTTAGGATTTTGCCACTACCTTTGTTTTAAACTCTTGGAGTGTATACTCTGTATTCTGTGAAACAAAAGTTATATTTGAATTTGATACCATATTTTATATTAGGGTATATAATTTCAAAGACTTGTGAACATGTATTTTTCCTTTTTTGGTACTGGGGAGCGAACTCAGGACCTTGTACTTGTGAGGCAGGCACAGTGCCACTGAGCTAAATCCCTGGCATTGTGAACATGTATTTTTTACAAAGTTGATTTGTTTTCACCCAACTTGTAGATTAGCACATTATGTTTCTCATATTGTAACAAGATACCTGCTTATATCCCAACATTGTATATTATATCATATAATTTTGCTTATCTTTCATGTTAGAGCCAATATCAATTATTTAGAATTTTGTTTTCTTACCATCAAAATTGCACTTTTCTTGTTTATATTGCAATGACTTTTCACCCTATCTTTTTTTTTCTTTCTTTTTCTCAGTACCAGGGATTGAACTCAGGACCTTGTGCTTGCGAGGCAGGCACTTTGCCATTAAGCTAAATCCCTGGCAGCAATGACTTTTAATTTGGTGGTAATCTTTCCACATATGTGCCAAAAATAACCCAAATTACTGTGTTTCTGATTGCCATTGACCAGCAGGACTTGTCTCCAAAAGCATATCATAAATTAATAGCAATCTCCAAAACTATAAATGATGGTATGATTTATCAGTAACAACAGTTTTGAAGAAATTTTTTTCAGCAGTGGTGGTATTTGGGGGAAAATGATTGCTATTGAGTGTAATGAGGCAAATGTCTTTATTCCCTGATGTAATGCCATTCTATCTTTGGTAATCGTTATATTTTTTGACAAAGTCTCAGTAGTTCAGGCTGGCCTTGAACTCATGGTGATCCTCTTACCTCAGGGTCCCAAGTGCTGGGATTACAGGTATGTGCTACCATGCCTGACCATCATTATTGTTTTTAACTAATAAGCTGAAATAATGGCATGAAGCAAAACCTAACTCATGAGAGGTATTAGTTTTGTAAAAGTGGAATTTACTAAATTATAATTCAGATTGTGTTGTCTTACCACTTTTAGAGATAAATTTATACAATGCCATTTTTCATTATTCGTAATGGCCAGTATGTTTGACATATGTGCCAGATGCCTTTAAATACATAGACTGGCCCAAGATGTGTGGATGAGTCCTAGTTGGTCTCCTTTGACCTGTATTTTTAAATATCTTTGACATTAAAATACTTTGTAAAATGTTTTATACAGTGTTCTTGAATACAAAAACTGCTCAATTTCTGGTACCAGGGATTGAACTCGGGACCTTATGCTTGTGAGGTAGGCAGCAGAACCACTGAGCTAAATCCTCGGCAAAAAACTGCTCAATTTCTGATGGAGTTACATTGTTACAAATGTATGGTATCAGGAAAACATAAATGAGCAATTTTTGAATACTCATAATTCAGTGAACATTATAGCTTGCCCTAGTCTTTTTTTCTGGTACTGGGGATCAAACTCGGGACCTTGTGCTTGCGAGGCAGGCACCAGAACCACTGAGCTAAATCCCCAGCCCACTTGCCCTAGTCTTAATTATGCTTAGACACATAAATTACTCACCAGTTTTGTAATATTATATCTGATACAATTCATGGAATAATACACTGCAGAGTGAATTTTTACAACCTACAACATGTGCCCAACTTCCTTGCATCAAATTTCTACTTTTTGCCATCACCAGGAAGATATGCAGTGTGTACTGCTATTCCAGCTTGTGATGAAATATTGAAACTACAAAGTATTTTATCCTGAGGACAAGGTATTTTATCCTGAGCACATTTACATGAAAAAAATCTTGCTGTGATGTATGTTTGTGATCCCAGCAACTCAGGAGGCAGAGGTGAGAAGAAAACAAAATTGAGGCCAGCCTATTCAACTTAGTAAGATCCTGTCTCAAAATATATGTTGAAGGGGCCGGGGATTTAGCTCAGTGGTTCCGGTGCCTGCCTCGCAAGCGCAAGGTCCCAAGTTCGATCCCCGGTACCCCCCCCCCCAAAAAAATATATATATATTTACATCTGCAAAACTTCAACATATATGTTGAAGTTTTGCAGATGTAGCTCAGTGATTTGGGACTCCTGGGTTTACTCCCCCCTACACATCAGTGTTTATCCTTTTCTCACTTAATATATAAAAGTCTTAAATGTGATGGTGCATTCTTTTAGTCTCAGCATCAGAAGAAGCTGAGACAGGATTATCATGGCTTTGAAACTGGTGTTGGGGGGGCGCAACTTAGATTTCTTAGCAAACTGAAACAGTTCTCTTTGTTTCTACACTTTAAGGAAAGAAAGAAGTTTATGCACATAACGGTTAGATCAAGAAATTAAAGTTTTGGTTTTTTGATATTGAATTAAAATTTATATGACACATTAAGGTTGAAAACTTAAAATGTAAATGATAAAGATAGATAAATATTCAATGGCATGTCTATTATACTTATCATAAAATGTATATTTAAGAATCAAACTATATGTGAGTTTATAAGATGCTATCAAGCAAACTGCCATCTATCATCCACAATCAATCCTTCTACACTTTTAACTCAAAGACAATTATGTAACACTTAGGAAATTTTAATTTTCCAAATATACTCAGAAAAACTTATCAGCATTGTCTTCCAGGTAAAAACTTCAGTTGCATAATCTATTTACCAGAAATCAACTCCCTGCGTGTATTGAGTGGCAGCAGTCAACCACTGTATGACTTTCTGCAGTGGTAGTTCTGTCCATTCATAACCACTTCCTCTTCACATGAAGGCTATGAATAAGAATAAGGGACAAAGGAGTCACCTTTCATTGTTTCACTGACTTTTTTTGGTACTGGGGATCGAACTCATGTCCTTGCGCAGCAGGTGGTGAAACCACTGAGCTAAATCTCCGGGCCCTGTTTCACTGACTTTTGTTGTTTTCACTGTATTTTACATGCCTGATTTCACCTTTACAGCCAAAATAAAAAGCAATTTTTATTCTGAAAGGTAACTGTATGCTTCCAGTAGCAGGCATTAGCAACTTCCAACATGATCTCTAGGGATAATTCGCAGTTCTGAACTATGCTTTAGAAAAACATTTCCAGCAGTCTGTGCAGGATTTATTCCTATTCCATTATGGTAATAATTGCACTTGTTGCTGCAGGAACTTTAAATTCTTCAGCTGGAAACTTTAAGACTGCTGTGAAAGGTGTACTTTCAGGAACACTGAGTACTTTGTAGGGCAGCAGCGGAGCCGGCATCAGCGTGATCTTAAAGGAAACCTTCGACATGGTGGACCCAGCCTGGACAGATATGCCACCCTAGCTCAGCCTACTGGCTCACTTCCTGGGCAATTTGCAAGTCATTTGTTACATCTGTTTCTCCCAAAGGACTGAACAAAAGGTGAGGTAAGCTGGGGGCTTTCGTCTTTGCCACCCAGAGCAGCTCTGATCAGACCGAAAGCTCAGCTTCTCAGTCTCATTTTTCTACCTTTCCTGTATAATAAGTTAATTCGCCTTGTGCTGCCATGGCTTGCAGGCGACTAGGACTTACTGCAGAGGTTCTAGTAACGTCCCCTTTCCCTGTTCCCTACATTTGGCGCCCAACGTGGACGTGAATGGGATCCACGGGTGAACTCGCCTGTGAGACAAACTCGGAGTAAAAGAGACAGCACACAGATCTCCCAGGATGATTTCCGGACTCAGATGAGGGAGACTCACAGTAAGTGTGTCCACCTGGGGGTAATTTTGTATCTTTGCTGAGTTACAAATATGGGTCAGTCTCTGTCATCAGAGCAGTGTAACTTTGCAAAATTACTTAAGTCGCTGTTAAAACGACCTATGTATCTGGTACCAAAGGATGCTGGGATAGATTTGTTAAAAGACATACAAATGTATGGCCCATCTTTTCCCCAGGATGGGACAACTAACTTACTAGCATGGGAACGTGTAGGTACCGTTCTCCGTGAGGCCCAGTGAAGGGGTGATACCCCCCCCCCGAATACTCCCCACTTGGGCCTCAGTCCACTCTGCTCTCAAACCCTCTCGGTCAATTCGGGAGACCTTGGGTCCCCCTCCTCCTCCCCGCCCTTCTGTCCAGGCCTTCTGTTCAGCTTCTTCCCCACTTTGCTTTCTTCTCACTGTGGCTTCTGCTCCACCCCCACAGCGTGCTGAGGAAGACCCTAACTCTCTAGCCCCTCAGCCATCTTGCAGAGGTCCAGCTGCCCCCCTGTGAAGCCCTCTTCTGGGGCCACTCCCTATTGCCGTGCCCTGCAAAAGGCTGTGACATCGAGCCAGGCGGTGGGAGACCCTTTGTGCTGTCCTGTCTCAGTTTTTCCTGATCCTGACAACTCAGAGGTGGACATGTATGTATGTTCATGCCTCATTTGATTTTAACATCCTAAAGGAGTTCAGGCAGAGCGTGCTAACTAATGGAGTGCAAAGCCCCTATACAGTGGGTTTGTTGGACAATGTATTTGAGACTTATTCTCTGGTTCCGCATGATGTTTTCACCTTGTGAAAATGTGCCTATCCCCAGCTCAGTATCTCCACTTAGAGGTGGAACTTCGTTCTTTAATCAGGGAACAGGCTCATAAGAATGCTCAGGGAGATGCTCAGTCGAGAGAAGTTACTATCAACATGCTATCGGACATGGGTGACTTTTCGGATTTAAGCAGGCAGGCCTGTTGCCCAGCGTTACTCTTTCACCAGCTAGGGGACCTTCTGCAGAGGGCTTGGGCTTCTGTGCCAGTTGAGGGTGCGCTGACGAAATCTTTTACTCAAATCATGCAAGGGCTGTTGGAAACTTACACAGAATTTGTAGCGAGATTACAACAAACTATTAGGAGACAGATTTCTAATTCCCAGGCAGCAAACATCCTGATCTTACAGCTAGCCTATGAAAATGCTAATATGGATTACAAACAGGCAATAAATCCTGTTCGCTCCTCTAAAGATCTTGGAACATATATTAAGGCATGCCAGAATATTGGGTCTCCTTTATACAATTCGGCTCTGATGGCTCAGGCCATCTCCCAACATTTACGTGGCACACACAGTGATTTAAAATGTTTTAATTGTGGAAAATCGGGGCATCTCAGAAAAAACTGCAAAATGAAAGTGGCTTTACAAGCTGACTCAGAGCCCCTAGGTCAGGCATCCAAAGAAAATAAGTTACCGCTTGGCCCTTGCCCTCGCTGTCGAAAAGGCATTCACTGGGCTAAAGCCTGCCACTCCAAATATGATAAGGATGGCACACTGCTGCCAGGAAAATGGGAATTGGGCCCAGAAAACTATAGGAGATCAGGGTCAGGGGGCCCCAGTCCCCCTGAGTCTGCAGTACGTGGTTCAGAGCCATGCACAAGTACAAAATCAGACAGCATGGGTGTCCAGAGGCACATTTCTTTCCTCATCAAGGGAACACTCGGGAGCTCAGAAGTAGATCTTCCTGCTGCTCAGAGAGTTCACCTGCTAGGAGGTGAGACTCCTGTATCTGTCCTCACAGGAATTCATGGACCCCCACCCCCCAGAACTATTGGTTTGATACTTGGAAAATTCTCTCTAACTTTGAAAGGCATTACTGTTATTCCAGCTATTGTTGATTCGGATTGTAACTCTGAATTGTGTGTTCCTGTTAGCCCCACAGGACTCTGGGTAATAGAACAAGGAGATTATATTGCACAATTGTTGCTCTTGCCTAAACCAAAATTAAATAATGTTAGCTTTAAAAATTCCCAAGAGGATCCTCAGCCAGAAATTCCTCAAGAAGAGATTTATTTCACCCAAGAGATTTCCAAAAACCGCCCCATGTGCAAAATTAAATTGAATGGTAAATTCTTTACAGGACTGATAGACATGGTTGTGAACATGTCTGTGATTGGCACATGTTTTTGGCCGTCATCTTGTGGGGAAAAACCAACTAAAACATCTCTGGAAGGTCTTGGCAACCCCCCCCCACAACAAGTTTTGCAAAGCTCCATTCCCCTGCCTCATGAAGGGCCTGATGGTCAATTGGGACATATTTGTCCTTACATAGCTCCCATACCTGTACATTTATGGGGCAGAGACTTATTGGAGGAATGGAGTGTTGTAGTGACTACTTTGCCCCCTGAAACCTCACTGGGTCAACACATGATGTCTAAAATGGGATATGAACCAGAAATAGGATTAGACAAGCAGCTTCAGGGTGGAATGCAGCCTATAGAACAGGAACAGAAGAATAATTGCCTTGGAATTGGATACAATAAACATGTTTTAGTTGGGGCTATTGAAGAAGTTTCTCTGCCCAAGGCAGCTTTGCCTTTACAATGGAAATTGAATGACCCCATTTGGGTTAATCAGTGGCCCCTAACACATGAGAAACTAACCATTTTAGAGCCACCTATATTAGAACAACTTAACAGAGAGCATTTAAAACCACCCATGAGCCCTTGGATCACACCCATTTTTATTATTCCAAAAAGGTCAGGGAAATGGTATTTGCCTCAGGACTTACAGGCAGTTAGTGCCAGCCTCATTCCCATGGAGGCGTTGCAACCTGGCTTACCAAACCCAGTGGCAATTCCCCAGAAGTGGCCACTTATAGATTTAGAAGACTGCTTTTTCAACATTTCTTTGTGGGTCACTGACCAACCTCGATTTGCCTTTTATTGGATTAGGCCTAAAATAGGGATAGCAACTTTTCAATTGCTGAATTTATATGAAATATCACGGGGAGATTCCGATCTTAATTTCCCTCAAAGATTAACACTAGACGCACAAAAGGCATTACAATTAATAGAACAAAGAATACATACCTGGCAGGCTTTTCTTATTAACTCTAATTATCCAGTTCATTTGTTTGTGCTTAGCACCCCCCACTCACCTACAGGTTTAATAGGGCAATGGTATG